CCTCTACACGACCCCCTCAGTGTGCATAAGGGTCAATGGGGCTTTGTCTTTGCCATTTCCCATCAGAAATGGCACACGACAAGGGTGCCCTCTGTCTCCTCTCCTGTTTGCCTCACTCTGAAGCCACTTCTGGAGGCGGTCAGACGGAATGGGGGCTCAGTGGGCCACACCTCGGGGGGCAGGAACACTGCGTTGCAGCATACGCAGACGATATGCTGTTCTTCCTAGAAAACCCGACGGTCTCACTTCCTAACTTCTTATGTATTTTTCAATCTTACGGGGCAATCTGCAATCTCAAGCTGAACATGGACAAATCTGAACGTCATACTATCTAGGGAACAGGAAATGCACCTGCGGACAGAGTTCCACTTTACATGTCGGGATGAAGAACTAAAATATCTGAGCATCTACTTACCGATAGATTTAACAAGGCTATACCAATTAGGTTTCCTCCGAATTCTTGCAACTCTACAAACAGATATGAAGAAATGGACGGGCCTGTACATCACCTGGTTCGGTTGCATCAACGCAATAAAAAAGAATGTCCTTCCACCTCTATTGTATCTGTTCCAGACTGTCTCTGACTGATCCTAAAGGCATTCTTCCTATCTATTACATCGGCCATAAGACAGTTCATATGGCACAGAAGAGCAGAGCGAATACGGAGGACTCTACTGGAACTCCCTAAAACCCAAGGAGGCACTGGTCTTCTTTCCTTACTTACCTACTATAGGGCAACCCACCTGCTCCGCTTTGTTGACTGGCACGAACACCCCACCATTAAGCACTGGGTACACATGAAAAGAATGCAAGCTGAAGGGAAAATTCCTTCCCTACTGTGGCATGGTAGGACCACATTTAGCTCCCTCTGAACAGGAAACCCACTGATTGATGCCACACTACAAACTTGGTGTTCCCTCCACTTCTCGCAATGCCTGACCACCTCCCCACTGACCCCCATCACACAAAATCTGGACCTAGCAGGGGGTCTAATGCCTTCAGACATACTCCCCTTCAAATGAACTGACTGGAGATTCATGAAACAATGGTGCACTAATACACAACTCAAAACACTGATCGACCTTCTACCTGAGAGAACACCCACAGGACTAGAGCTATTCTGATACCACCAAATTAAGACCTACTACATGACCCTGCCCGGCAAAAAACAGCTCCATAGGGAGTGCACCCAATACGAGACACTCTGCTCCACGAGGACCCGTATCCCCAGAGGAATACCGGTGCTATACACCATGCTGATACAGGGGAGGAGAGAATATCACCCACATACACAACACACTGGGAATGGGACACAGGGATAATGCTCACAGACCAGAAGTGGGACAAGATTTACACACACACACAAATGCTTTATTAGCTCCAAATATCAGGAAATGAGCTACACGCTTTTATCTTGCTGGCATAGGACACCAGAAGTCCTACATCATATAAACACAGCTATACAAGACACTTACTGGTGCTGTGAGTACAAAGTGGATACAACTCTGCACAACTGGTGGATTTGTCCAGTGATTGCCCCATTTTGGACAATGGTACACATCAAAGAAATAGCAGACCCTGACCTACCCTTGCTACCTTTACCCATGCTCCTACACCACATGACCAGACCATTGAAATCCTACAAAATAAATCACTGGCTAAACACTTACTGACGGCTGTGAAATCACGGATCCCAACTCTCTGGAAGCAGAAGGATGTGCCATCCTTCAGACAGTGGGTGGACAGGGTAGAGGAAATATATAACATGGAAATGATGACAGCTAAAATTACTGTCAATGCCGCTAAATGTGCACAGACTTGGTTCCCATGGTGCGATTTCATCTCTGGGGCAAACCCTCCGGGGTAACACAAAAAGCAAGCGCATATTAGACACTAATCGTACAGAGGGGCAAGTTAGGTTTTTTGTTTTTTGTTATTCCCTCCTTGTCTCTCCTCCCTTTTTCTGCCCTTCCCCTCCTACCTCAACTTTACCTGTGCCCCTCCCCCCTTCATAAAACGAAACTTGAAAATCCATTCCTATAAACCAGCGCTTCACTTCCTATGAAAACACACATTAGCAGTAATTAACATATACTGGGCCAGACCTGATACCTCAACAGGTGTCACCGACACTTGTCGATATGTAAGCAGTAAAAGGTTGCAGATTCCAAATTTCTAAACTATGTTTTGCATGCAGATGACACATACTTACTTCAACTGAGCAATGATACGTGTTACCACTTTGAAATGTGACCATTATTGTTATTATGCATCACTCTTGTTCACCAATTGAACAACCTGCCAGTGGCTGAAAGTAAACTTTTTGCACCTGGAAAATGCAAGTAAAATCAAAATAAAGTTTGTCAAAAAAGTGAAAGTTAATAAAATGGAAGAAGTGGTAAATTTCTCATTATAGTAAAGTGTTATACAAAACCACTGAGGAAAACGTTAATTGCCGTATTTCTCTTACATATAGATTACAGTACAATATAGATCTGAGCAGGTTTCCTTAATATGTCGAATCATGGTTTTACTTTCCAGTTTGCTGGAAGCCTCTAGCTGGCTTCTAGCTATATTCTGTTATATGTATTTTCAAGATAGCTTTTATTCACTATTGATTTCTAGCACATAGGAGTTTTATACAGAATTACAATTGGAGGACAGCTAGAGGCACAAAGCTTTTACTCACTATTTATTATACAGAACAAACATGCTTGAACATATTCCTCACTATTCATTATATGGCTCATACAAGTTTTAGTTAATGATAGCATCTGTTAGAGAGGTTATCTAACTCACTTGACCCAATATTTTAAAGCACTATATAGAAAATGCATTAAAAAAGTTTTGATAAAAATAACTTAACAAAATTAAAAAAGAAATATACTCATATTAGAAAATCCCAGGCAAAAGACGTTTAATGGGTGTGCCTGTAGCTCTAATCAGAAGCAGAATTCTGGTCTATGGGTGCAGATCTTATCTGATAATTCTCTGCTCAGCAAGAGATTATGGAAAAATATATGCCTCTTAATATATATATATATATAAGAAACCAAGAGGGCTGCACTCACCTGAACATGCATACATTATTGGGTGCTGCTGGGGCCAAAATAAACAAAATACAGAATCCAGCGCACTCGCTTATTCACTAAACAATGATTTCAAATCTTAGAGATTGTAATAGTTTTATTTAAAAACACCTCACCTAGGCAAAAAATTATGGCACCTGTTACAGGTGTCTCATTCCAGGACCCTATTTAGCCTTGACTTGCAGAGAGTCCCAGTAAGGAAGTATGTCCCAAGTAAGTGGATTAATCTCATAAGAGCAAGCATTAGGCTGCTACTAGGATAGGACCTGCCGAATATGGGGTACTTTGACGTAGTTGGCAGGCTTATGCAATGTATGATCATATAATGTAACTAAACCCCCATCATTTTTTGCCTAGGTGAGGTGTTTTTAAATAAAACTATTACAATCTCTAAGATTTGAAATCATTGTTTAGTGACTAAGCGAGTGTGCTGGATTCTGTATTATATATATACTCGAGTATAAGCCAAGTTTTTCAGCACATTTTTTGTGCTGAAAAACCCCCACTCGGCTTATACTCGAGTCAAGGTCTGTATTGTGGCAATTTATATTGCCACAATACAGACCAGGACCGCCAGGCTCATTACAAGCCCGGCGGTCCTGTTGGGGGCTGACAGTGAGCTGTTACTTACCTTCCTGCAGCTCCTGTCATCTCCCTTCTCCTCCGTGCAGCTCCCCGGTCAGCTCCGTTCTGCTTACAGTGTAAGTCTTGCGAAACCCGTGGAACAGTCAATGTCACTGGACCACCAGTCACTGAACAGTCAATGCCACTGGACCACCAGTGATTCAGTATTATTATTTTAATATTATATTATTTTAATAATATTATTTTATTATTATATTATTATTATTTTAATATTTGCATTATTTTTTTAAAATGTTTTTTGTCCCCCCCTCCCTGCTTGTTGCCTGGCCAGGCAATAATAATAATAATAATATAATAATAAAATAATATTATTAAAATAATATAATATTAAAATAAAAAAATTTAAATAAAAATTCCCTCCCCTCACCCAGTTTACACACACTGCACAAACACACACACTGCATTCACACAAACACACACTGCATTATATACACACTGCATTCATTATATACACACACAACACACAAACACACTCTGCATTCATTATATACACACACACAGGCCCGGACTGGCCATCGGGCACAGCGGGCAAATGCCCGGTGGGCCGCGGTGGCCATGGGCCGAGGCCGGCAGGGGAGGTCCCAGGATCTCCCCTGCCGGTCTATGCAGGGCCGGCACTCTCCTAGCGCCGGCCCCGCTGTCTGCCACGACGGGCCGGTGGGGAGATCAAGGATCTCCCTGACCGGCCCACATGCGGCCGCCAGCGGGGAGGGGGAGAGGGAGGGAGCCAGCCAGGCTGGAGAGAGGACCCGGCGGAGCTCTAATTTGCAGCTCCGCCGGGTTCCTCTCGCGAGATCCGGCGCGTTCACTCACCCACAAGGACCAGGGAACACCGCCTCCCAGCGTGCCGGACCCCCCCTCCCAGGCTAAAGGTAAGAAGGGAGGTGGGGGAAATAATGACTGTTTTATTTATTTTTTATTTACCCCCCCTACACACACACAATAACATTTATACAGCACTCTCACACCCATCACACACAGCACTCTCACACCCAGCACTCTCACACCCATCACACACAGCACTCTCTCACACAGCACTCACACCCATCACACTCTCAGCACTCTCACAGCACTCTCACAGAGCACTCTCACACACACACAGCACTCTCTCACACAGCACTCTCACACCCATCACACACAGCACTCTCACACCCATCACACTCACAGCACTCTCTCACAGCACTCTCTCACACAGCACTCTCTCACACAGCACTCTCTCACACCCATCTCACACACCCATCTCACACACCCATCTCACACAGCACTCTCACACAGCACTCTCACACCCATCACTCACACACGGCACTCTCACACCCAGGGCCGTCTATAATATGATTAGGACCGTGGGCAATGCATTTCTTGGGCCCCGTGGGCCCTGTCCCTGCCTCACCCCCCAATTACGTCCAACCCGCAATCACACTGACAGACGTACTGGCACATACACACACAGACAGACATTAAAACATTCACAGATACATACTGACACACACAGTCACTACACACAAATATATACTGGCAGACATACTGACACACACACAGACATACATACATACACAGACACATACATTAACAGATATACTGACACACACACAAACACATACACTGACAGATATACTAAAACACACAGACACATACACTGACAGACACATTGACACACACACACAGGCATACTGACATACACACTGACACACACACACGCATACTGACATATACACAGACAGATGTAATGGCTGATACAGACAGACATTAAAACATTCACAGATATATACTGACACACACATACACTGACATACAAATATATCCTGGCAGACATACGGACACACACACACACACACAGACATACATACATACACACACAGACACATACACTGACAGACATACTGACTGACACACACATACACACACAGACATACTTACATACACACACAGACATACTGACACACAAAGACATGCTGACACACACATACAGACATACTGACATACACACAGACAGACGTACTGGCACATACACACAGACAGACATTAAAACATTCACAGATACATACTGACACACATACACTGACACACAAATATATCCTGGCAGACATACTGACACACACGTACACACACACACAGAGACATACCTACATACACACACACAGACATACTGGCATACACACAAACATACTGAAACACACACACAGACACACACACACTGACATACTGGCATACACACAGACATACTGACACACACACACACAGACATATACACACACACACACACACACTGACATACTGGCATACACACAGACATACTGACACACACACACACACAGACATACTGACATACACACAGACATACTGGCATACACACACACACACACAGACCTACATTTAGCCACCCTCCAGGTTTTTACCTTTTTATGGAGGGTGGTTTCCCTGGTCCAGTGGCAGGCTGAGGCAGATGGGAGTTCTCCTCTGGAACTCCCCTCCTCCCTGCCTTCCTCCTCCTGCGTGGCCATTATCTCCGGTGGGAGGAAGTGACGTCACTTCCTCCCAGCCGGCTGCAGAACCGGAAGAGGGGCCCGGTCGCGCTGTTTAAGCGCCACAGCGCCCGACCGGGCCCCTGCTGACACATGCTCCCCGGGTGGCCCTTAGTGCATGGGCCACCCGGGGAGCCTCCCAGTCCATAGGGGCTGCGCAAATCGCGGGGCCCACAGAGCAGCTGCTCTGGGCCCCCAGGAGCAACTGGGCCCGGGGCAGCTGCCCCGTTTGCCCCGCGTTAAAGACGGCCCTGCTCACACCCATCACTCACACAGGGCACTCTCACACACATCACTCACACACGGCACTCTCACACACATCACACACACCGCACCCTCACACACACACATACTGCACCCCTCACATACACACAGAACCCCCCCATCACACTGCACCACACACATACACAATACTTCCAAATATATATATATATATATATATATATATATATACACACACACACACACACACACACACACACACACACACACACACACTACACTCTTAAAGGACCATTCTAGCCACCCAGACCACTTCAGCTTAATGAAGTGGTCTTGGTGCCAGGTCCTTCTAGGGTTAACCCATTGTTTTATAAACATAGCAGTTTCAGAGAAACTGCTATGTTTATCAATGGGTTAAGCCTTCCCCCAAAGCCTCTAGCAGCTGTCTCATTGACAGCCGCTAGAGGCGCTTGCGTGCTTTTCACTGTGAAAATCACAGTGAGAGCACGCAAGCGTCCATAGGAAAGCATTATAAATGCTTTCCTATGCGACCGGCTGAATGCGCGCAGCTCTTGCCGCGCGTGCGCAGCCAGCCGACGGGGCGGATCGGAGGAGGAGAGCTCCCCGCCCGGCGCTGGAAAAAGGTAAGTTTTAACCCCTTTCCAGAGCCGGGCGGGAGGGGGTCCCTGAGCCACATATGCATCACATTACACCACAAACACAACACGACTAAAACCGACCTTATTACACAATACCACACCACGACCAGCTCACTCTGCACACACGCAATACCACAAGCAGGCTCCAAACACATGCACAATACTCTTTCCTGGCCCTTTTGTCTCCTGGTATCCATTTATAGAGACACCAGAGACAAGTTGCAAGGAAACACAGTGCAAGCATGTTATTAAATTTGCTTGCACTGTGCAGAACAAATACAGGGCTTTTTTCTCATGCTAGAGCTCTTCAGCAGAGCTCTGCGCATGGTCTGCCCTGGAAGAGCATTGAACCAACATGCTCACTTTGAGAGGAGGCGTGTTTGTCATTGGTGATGACAAAACAGACCTCCTCTGCTCCGCCCCCTTTTTAGTGGGCCGCTGTGTTAAAAAAATGCCCGGGCCGAATTTTTCTCCCAGTCCGGCCCTGCACACACAACACACAAACACACACTGCATTCATTATATACACACACAAACACACAAACACACACTCTGCATTCATTCTATACACACACTGTAAATAAATATTCAATTAATGTAATTTTATTGGGATCTAATTTTATTTAGAAATTTACCAGTAGCTGCTGCATTTCCCACCCTAGGCTTATACTCGAGTCAATAAGTTTTCCCAGTTTTTGGGGGTAAAATTAGGGGCCTCAACTTATATTCGGGTTGGCTTATACTCGAGTATATACGGTATATATATATATATATATATATATATATATATAAAATAATTTGAACTCCTCTTTCCGAATAAACATTTTTTTTATATAATCCCTTGCTCTATAAGTGTGCAAAAAAACAAACATATATATATATATATATATATATATATATATATATATATATATATATATATATATATATATATATAACTCTATAAGTGTGCAAAAGGATGAATCCTGTATTTCCCTTTAAATCAATTTTAAGTCATAAATCTTGTACTTTTTTCTTTAAGTATACATCTGAAGGTATAACCTAACAGTCTCCAGGCAAACCAGCTGTTTCTCCTTACACATGAATGGAGGATATCATTCTCAACACATCCAAATATGTGACTTAGGTTATGTAATTTCTGAAAATGTATATGAAAAACTAATGTCTAAAATTACTTGCCAAATGTAAGGTGTTTGCTAGTTCATATGTGCATTTAGATATGTGTGTAGGAATATATTTGTTATTGCAATAACATTTTAAATGCAAGCATAACTTAATAAATGTACATTTTAAAAAAAATATATTTTGTGCCCAATAACAGGACTAGATTAGATTTTCTAAAAATGTCATAACTACTGGTCTTCTACTTCCCATATTGGGTGCTGGCTACTGTACATATTTGAAATGACATTGCTGAAATGGGAAATCATCAATAGCAAAGCCCAAATGATGCTGCATTCATAAAAAATGCAGCACAATTAAAGCGTTATTAACAATTGTGGCATTTATAATGGTTTAATTAAAGTGACTGTAGAATTGTGGGGCAGATTAGACTAAGGTTAAGGCTATGGGGAAGCTTATGAAAGGTTAAAGATAAAGGTAGATTGGGGTTAGGAGGTCTGTAGCAGCAGGTTTTCATCGGAATGTTATGATTCTTATATGATCTGAGGAAAGGGATATGTTACATACGGTTCCGGAGTTTTGTCCAGTTTTGTTGTCCTCATTTCACATGAATTAGACACTCCTCTCTTTTATTCCATACCCACCATTAGAGTAAGAGTTTACAAGCTAATGTTTGAATTTGTTGTTTATCCATTGGCATGCTGGAGGAAGCTTCTGCATCTCTTCTTCGACCTCCTCCTCTTTGGGCAGGGCCTTCCTCACCTTTTGTCCCCATTCTCTCATTGTAAAGTGCTAATGAATATGTTGGCGCTATATAAATTATAGTAGTACTAATAATACTACTCTTGGAAAAAAAGATTTCACAAAAAAAAAAAAAAATCATACTACTTTTGGAAGATGGATTGGTCCTGCATTGTCAAAACATGCCAGATTTCTATATGATGTTAGAAACACATACAGACACATATAAAATAATTATGAGTAATGTAGAGAAAGATATAAAAAGTGTGAGAGACTGAGCTAAGATTAAAAGCATAGCAAGAGGGTAACTTTCTTCCATCTAATCTCTGTCTCCCCCTTTGGGTTGTCTTGCTAAGTACTAGGAGACAGGAAAATAATAGTTCTCCTAAACTCTCTGCAGTTTCAATCTGTTACCATTACCGGCTGTGCATTCATAGTGCCACCAATCAAAAGTGGAGAAAACAGAGAAAGATCATATAGCAATGTTCCAAAGCCTGATGACTGTGTTTCAGAATAGTCTAGATAGTTAAGTGGAAGATGCTTTTCTAGAAAGGTATTTAAATGAATCAGACCAGTGGTATTGTAACATATTCTTCCTCACCTTGCAGTCTCTGCACCCAGTGGCCGTGCATCTGCATGACTGACACTTGCGGCATGTTAATGGACGCCGGCCGCTGTGGATCCATGGCAAAATATACCGCCATGTCCGCTCACGTTGTTGACGGCATCAGCGTGCACGTGACGTCACGCAGGTTTTTGGGGTCAAAGAGATATTTCAGCCAATTAGAATAGAAAAGCAGGTATTTAAATCTAAAAACATTTTCCCTCATTGCCCTGTCGTGGTTTCCCTAGTGGTTGTCCGAGAGTGCGTTCCTTATTCTGGTTATTTTGGTTATTTGACTTTGGCATTTATTTTGACTTCCCTGTTTTCTGGTATCCTTTATCATTGTGTACCTTTCTGTGTCCCCTGACCTCGGCTATTCCTGACTATAATTTGGTACGTGAGTGCGGCCATTCTAAGGCCCAGTATACGTTACCTATTAGTCTCCTGTGTTACACAGTTCTACGTGCTGGATCATACTGTAATCCTGACAGGTATCTTGAATCATTACTCCATGAGCAAGTCCAGAGGGAAGAAAACGGTAGGAATCATTGGAGGTGATTGCATGCAAACCCGTTCTAACAATATCTGCTAGAACAGGTAATTGGAGAGAGCAATTCATTCTTGACCTAAGGGGATGTTAGAAAACATGAGCAATGGCATCCAGACCTACAGAAGCTGCTTCACTGTATTGGTTTTCCATACAGGAACCACAATTGGTTATACAGCTCAGTTAGCGCCATTTATCTTGTTCATAGCGCAAGTGCAAACATTGTATGTGTGTACTTATTATTTTAAAGTTCTACACTATGATTATTTGTTCTCTATTTTATATATTAAGGCACTGAAGATACTTTGGTCTCTTATGAAGTTCCATGGAATATGATTTACCAGCATACAACTGCATTGATTATTGGGATTAGAATGAAGTGGCTCTGGAGTACTGGACTCCAAAGTCAGTAGAAAACTGTGCAACAAATGTTATGCCCAAATGTGACAATACGTGTATAAAGGTATATTCCTTATTAAATAGATATGATAAAGTATATGTAGCCTGCACCAGTGCTGCTTTCTTGTGAGTGGTATCCTTATCTCTCCTTGTATAAAGTATTTCGCAAAATCAAAGATAGCGCAAAACGGAGGAGCATATACAAATTACATTAAATAATGCAAATTTTATTTAAATCTAATTATAATCTAATTACAATCATATAGCAAGAAATAGGATAAATCATGAAAATACTATAATGCAAGTTTGCCTTAAAAATGTATTAAATAAAAAAAGGAGCTGGTATCACTGTATCTTTAAATCTCAACTGTGCACACTCGGCTCCCGGTCTGGAGAGGGAGAGGGATCTAAATAGAAAAAATAAGTTCTCATAGACCAAGAAGAAGTTGAATGGACCTAGGTAAAAAGTCCTAAAACCAACTATAAAACTGAATAAAAATGTTGGTTTTATCATATTGATACAATATTATTTCTAAATGCCCAGA